CAGTCTCACTCTGTCGCCCAGGCTGGAGTGCAGTGGCACGCTCCCAGCCACTGCAGCCTCGACCTGCTGCTGATGATTCTTCCGCTTCAGCCTTCCAAGTAGCTGGAACTACAGGTGCATGCTACCACGCCCAGCTAATTTTTGATTTATTGTAGAGATGAGGTCTCTCCAAGTTGCCTGGGCAGGTCTCGAACCCGTGGGCTCAGACAGTCCACTCACCTCGGCCTCCCAAAACTCTGGGATTACAGGCTGAGCCACCAAGCCCAGCAGAAACATGTACTATTAAGGTTCCGTCAGGGTGCTCCATCAGCTCCATGCAGAACACAGTTAATAAAATGCACATTTAAACAGGATAGCAGTTACTGCTCAGAATAACTCAGGAAGATCTCAATAAAGAATAAAAAAAGATTTGCTCTCTAGAATGCTAAAACAAAAGACCATGTAAATATACTATTAGAGATTACAGAGCATAGGAGATACCTGTAGCTGGGATTCTTCATAAAACTTATATTTCCTCAGTATTAGATTCTGATTAAAGTTACCTATTATTTTGGCCAATAATGTCACAACACTAATGTGTCATCTGTTGCCTTGTTGGCATCTAATACCAATTTGTCCTATTACTGTCGATTTTTTTTTTTTTCATTTCAGGAAAACATTCCCTCATTTTATTTTCATCTCAGCAAATGTTCTTTGGCACCCAACTGGCATCAGACTAAACACTTCAGGTCAGCAAAGCTGGGCCACTCACAAGCTTCCCATTTGTAGGTCTCAATGTCTGTTGAGTATCAGAGCACCCGTTCCTCTCTTCAGTCCCTTGGGAGATTTAAATCTGTCTCAAGTGTGCTAATAACGCCAGCCACAAGGTGGTGAAAAAGTCCATGAAACTGCAATCTTTGCAGGGGTAGGAAGCCAAGCAGCCCCTGGAAGGCAGAGTTCTTTTCTCAGGCAACAGATAAACAGATAGGCCCCAATCATGCTCTTACTCAACAGTCTTCCATCTCTGCCTAGACTGGAATGAAGAAAGGGTCATTCTCTCCTGCAGCACAAGGGCGGAGATACAAATTCGTTTACACTTTTTAGATCTAACAAGGACATCTAACATCGTCTGGTCTGGATAGATGTAGCAATGAGAGCTTAGGTCAGCACTCATTGCTGGAGGAAATCCCTGAGTCCAGCTTTGCAGCCTTTGTACAGGAGTACATTCCCAGGATCCATGGAAAATACTTAGAGTCCACCAGGACGTTTTCTTAGATTGTTTCCAACTGTTAGAGGAGTTCAGGACGGTCTGGCCCGGAACCCTTCTCAGTATCTCAGTTCAGGATTACCCACTGAAAGCATGAAACAACAGAACATACATTTTAGGAATTAAGGCCGCTCTTTTTTAACCTCGCTGAGGGAACAATCTCTGACATGAATGGCATAGAGAAAACTGGGCATTCAGCTCGGCACAAGCAGGAGTTGCCTTCAAGCCAGGCCTTTTCCTCTGGTGTTGCACAGACCTCGGTCTGAGGTCCGGCATTCCAGCTGCCCAGCACTCTCTCGCCGGCACGTTGGACAGGCTAGTTAACTCGGCAGGTGCGGATCAGGAGCAGCTGCAGGCGAATGAAGACCGGAGACGTGATCGGGCCGAACCAGAGCTCCCGAGCCTGCTCCGCCAGCTTCTGGCACAACAGCATCTCGAAGACGAACTTGAGGCTCAGGACCGTGAGGACCCAGAAGAGGCGGAGGACCGCCAACCTCTTCTCTCCGTCCCGAAAGAGGCGCACAGACACGATGGTGGTGATGTAGGTGCTGAGCCCATCAGCGGCGAAGAAGGGCATGAACACGGTCCACCAGGAAAGGCCCAGGGCCAGGCCATCCACACGCAGTGCCAGCAGGACAGAGAACACCAACAGAGCCAGCAGGTGCACGAAGATCTCAAAGGTGGCGAAACCCAGCCACTGCACCAACTCCCGGAGCGAGAGAGAATCGCGCCGGCGGAGCGCGGGCCGGGGCCCAGCCAAACGTGGCCCCTGCGGGGCTCGCCAATGCCTGCCGCTCGCCCCCACCCTCGGCCGGGTGCGCCACCAACCCCGCAGCCCCGGCCGGGCACGCAGCACTGGACGCCCGCGGACGCCCGCCTCGCACGGCCGCCATTCCCCGCCGGGCGCGTGCGATGGCGTCGCTTCCTGATATTAATTTTATTCACTTGGTTAAGGTGCCTGCTGACAGTTTTCAATATAAAGTAAACTTTTTTGTTATTAATAAATACCTTGGGGAGAGTCACCAAAGAGCATTACATTTAATATGGACTCTCTCCTTTCTTTTTAGATTCATTTTGCATATAGCTTGCTTTGGAAAATGGACACTCTTGTTTTTGTTTAATGGTCAGATAAACTGAAATAAACCTAGGCTCTGTCACAAGGTGGATTTTTGACAAAATATTGTCCTTGGCCAGAAGAGTTGGCATCACTGGCAAGCTTGTTAGAAATGAAAAAGCTGAGGCTGGGTGTGGGGGCTCTTTACTGTCATACCAGCAAGTTTGGAGACTGAGGCCAGAGGATGCCTTGAGCCAGCCTGGGCAATAAAGCCAGACCTCATCTCTACCAAACATTAAAAAAAAAAAAAAAAAAGCCAGATGTGGCAATCCGTGTCAGTTTTCCCAGCTACTCAGGAGGCTGATGAAGATAGATCCTTTCAGCCCAGTAGTTCGAGGCTGTGATAAGCAGTGATTTTCACACTGCACTCCACCACAGATGACAAAGTAAGCCCCCCAACTCAAAAGAAAATGCAGCAACTCAGGCTTTTCCTCAGATATTCTGAATCATAATCTGCATCTTAGCGATGTTCAGTTCATCGTTGTACACATTAAAACTTGAAGGAAGACCTGGTGCGGTGGCACAGGCCAGGAATCCCAGCACTTTGGGAGACTGAGGCAAGAGGATTGCCGGAGCCCAGGGATTTGGGACCAGCCTGGGCAACTTGGCGGGACCTGGTCTCTGCAATAAATAAAAAAACTAGAGGGCGAGGTATCGCATGCCTTTAGTTCCAGCTATTTGGAAGGCTGAGGCAGAAGGATAACCTGAGTCCTGCTGGTTGAGGCTGCGGTGGCCGTGTGTGTGCCACTGCACTTCAGCCTGGGCGACAGAGTGAGACTCCAACTCAAAAAAAAAAAAAAAAAATTGGCGAAGGGGACCTTCTGACTTACTATGAGTTTTTCATCTTACTAATATATACATCTTATTCTGTGTGATGTCAGTATAGCATTCAAAAATGTACATCCCTGTGTTGGTGTCCTAATTTATACTTTATTATTCATAAAAGTGTAGTGTCTACACTGGCTGAGTGGATCTTATTTATCCTTTTTCCTTAGAGTGAAAGAGCACATTAGAGAATATTTCTGTGTTAAAAAAGAATATCTTTTTGGATAATTCCCATCGTTTTATCAGTTAGAACCTGTTCTCTTCACTCTTTCATTAAATGTAGAGTTAAAAAATTCTGCTCATGAACACTTGATAAATATTTATTGTTGTTTTCAGGGACTGTTTACATTCAGGGATGTGGCCATAGAATTCTCCCCGGAGGAATTGGAATGCCTGGACCCTGCTCAGTGGATTTTGTACAAGAACATGATGTCAGTGAACCACAGAAACCTCGTTTCCCTGGGTGAGGACAATTCCAACACACTTTTCATACTAAGGATTTCATGTCCTTTTGTAGAATGTTTCGGGGAGTTTCTGCTTTGCACGAATGAGTTGTAGATTCCTGCTTTCAACGAAAACTTTGTGACTTGTTGGCTAGAGACCAGCCTGGGCAACTTGGCGGGACCTGGTCTCTGCAATAAAACTGAAGATGTTTCATTTTCACATTTTTTTCCACTTTTTGATCTAATCTATATTTTTCACTATATTAGTGGTAAGCCTAGAAATTTAGTGGCATAAAATATTGCTCCCATACCTTAAAATCCAATTGCTGCCATCAATTTTTGCTTCACTAGTACTGAGTAATAGAGCTAAGGATCCACAACTTTAAAATACTCCCTGTATGTTCTAAAGGTTCTGTTGGGAAACAGTAATGGGGGGTTATTTTTCTGAAATCTCATAAAATGTTTTCTCTACTAAGCAAAGTACTAGGCTGGTCATTGGTGAACCCCAGCAAGAGTTATGTTACTTGTTCTTAAAAAACAGGCCTCTGCCTGGGCAGCGAGACCTCATCTCTACAATAAAATCAAAAATTAGCCCATCGTGATAGCACGCGCCTATAGTTCTAGCTACTTGGAAGGCTGAGGCGGAAGGATCACCAGAGCCCAGCAGGTCGAGGCTGCGGTGGCCGGGAGTGGCCACTGCACTCCAGTCTGGGTGACAGAGTGAGACTCCGACTCAAAAAAAAAACAAAACAGGCTTTGCTATTTCTACACCAGACCTGAACATATGTCTTGAGTAAAGGAAAAAGCCCTGGAATGTGAAGAGACACATCAGCCAACCTCCCAGGCAGGTCAAGCAGAAATCAGAGCTTGAAATGTGGTTTGGAGCCGGGCTCGGTGGCTCAGCCTATAATCCCATGCATTGGGAGGCCGAGGTGAGTGGATTGCCTGAGCCCGTGGGTTCAAGACCCACCTGGGCAATTTGGCGAGACCTCATCTCTACAATAAATCAAAAATCAGCTGGGTGTGGTAGTGCACGCCTGTAATTTTGGCTACTCGGAAGGCTGAGGTGGAAGGATCGCCGGAGCCCAGCAGGTCGAGACTGCGGTGGCCAGGAGCGGCCACTGCACTCCAGTCTGGGTGACAGAGTGAGACTCCAACTTAAAAAAAAAAAAAAAGAAAGAAATGCGGTTTGGGAATGTGGCCTGCTGTAACGGAAATTACTCCTGAGAAGTCTGGGTTTCTTTCTCTTGCTCTCTATGCTCTGAAATTCTCCAAAACCCCTACTTCCTTTTCGATGATCTTCTTTCAAGGTTACACTGGAAATCAAACTCCTCTTTGTGATTGGTTCATAAGGGACTTCATGATCTGACTGCTCTTCAGTTGCTTTTGGTGACATGGAAATATCTGCTTATTTTTTAGAAACTTCATGTTAAACTAATTTTTTCAGTTCTCTTTTGTATCATGTCTGAAATATTTAAGAGTGGTGTTTTTGTTGTTTCTGAAATCCTAAGAACACCATGGGCAAGTGTTAATGTCTTCTGCTTTATGATTTCCTATTCTAGGGAGTTTTAGATGCATTCTATAAAAGTTCATACTCAATTTTTTTTCCTTGGGAATTAAGAAAGCTGGCCTTATTAGTGGAAAGATACGCTGTGAATGGCACAAAAGGCAGGACAACAGCAAGAGTGTCTGCTGTCTGCTGCCCATACTCAATAATTTTACCAGAGCACAAACTGTCTCTCTAAACACAAGAAAATCTTATCTTGTTTTACTTTATTATTATTTTTTCAGTATGAACTGAGATTGGTATTTTAAACTCTGTATGCACTAATCTCTTTTCTATGATATTGCTTAGAACATTGATAAACATATCAATTACCTTGTTTTTTAATAACTCTTTTTTTATAATTCTCTTTTTCAGTATTAAGCTTAGGACTTGGTTATTTTTACATATATACATACACATTCTTTTATGTATGCTTATCTAATGCAGATTTTTTTCGCAAATAAGAATTGTATAACCTTATATTTATTTTGTGCAATGTAATGATTTGATATGTTTATACATTGTTTATACATATTCATTCTTTTATGTATGCGTGTCTAATGCAGATTTTTTCACAAATAAGTATTGTATAACCTTATATTTATTTTGTACAATGTAATGATTTGATATGTTTATACATTGTTAAATGATAAATACAAATAAGATAGTGAATATGTCACCTTACATAGTTACCTTTTCCTTTTTTTTTTTACTCTGTATTATCTTTAATTAGGTTAAGTTTTTTTAACATGTCACAGAGACCATTTCACCCACTGCTCTGTTTGGCTGCCAGTCTTTTGTCTCTCTCTTCAGCAATGGTGAGGCGGATACCTTTTCCTCAGGGAAGAGAAATCCATGGTTTGTTGCCTTTGCCAATAACAAAAATTGTTGGACGCCAGCCTTGGAGGCCTACCTGATTGACAGGGTCCTGGTGTCTTTTACCTTTATTGTTGGTACGGCTGAAAAATTTTGTGTAGTCCTGGAAGAAGAAAATGGCATGTTTATGTGAAGTACTCACAGCTAACCTGGAAATGTCATGGTTTATTTTTTTATTTTTCACTATTTCGTTTGGCCTTTTTTAACATATGTAAAGGTTAAACTCTGAAACACATCAAGAATGCTTTATTTTACTTGGTTATAAATTACTAGATATTGTTTGAGTAAAAATGATATAAGTATATTTATTCCTTATTTGATTTAGAATTATGTAGTTTAGTGTTTAGACATAAGATTTTTTAAAAGCACAAGTTTATAATAAGTTCATTATGAATTTATTATAAGTTCTAACACTTATCTAGGAGTTATGTAGGTGATTTATAATACTGTTTTTACAGATTTAGGATAAAGAGTAATTGTTAAGGTTTTTATTTAATTCAATAGTTAAAATTCTAAGTTAATGTTTATAGAGTGGGTTTTCACTGAATTTATGATATACTAATTGGATACTTTTATGATAAATTAACTAAGTACAAAAAACAACCTTGGGAGCCTGGAAAACATCACTAAAAGCTTCTTTTGAGTTTTCTTTAGAAATAAACACTGCAGGATAAGAAAAAAGTAATGAAGACACCTGGACAAAAAAGACAATTACAAAGCTTTAAAGGTCATAAAAGCCCCAGAGAAAAAACTCCTGTTACATAAAAATGCACTTAAAAACTTTCTTGAGACATTTCAAGGACTATAATTCGGGACTTTGGACTAAAAGTATCATTCTTGGCTTTATAAGTAAGACTCATTGTCTAAATGTTTATAGTGTTCTTGGCTTGTTTGTTAATAAGACCACTAGATGGTGGTAACTTTTAAAGCATATGTACGTGAAGAAATTTTCTTTGTCTTGCCCCTTTACGAATGGTATAAAAACTTTCAGTTAACTAACATTAAAGGTCATCTGTTCAACAAGCAGGGGTCCAAGTATATTATTTTCATCTTTCGCCTATTCGTCTCTCCTTCAGAAAACTCAAGACCCGGCGAAAACAGGTCCCCCGCAAAAAATGTTGGAAAGCTGAGTGTCAAAGCTGTTGCCGTTGGCATCTTTTACATGAACCACATCAAAAGACCCAGGATGTCTTTCTCTGTTGGTGATCACACTGATTCTTCCCAGGTTAGCACCTCCAGTCACCATACACAGGTTACCAGTGTCAAACTTGATGAAATCAGTAATTTTGCCAGTCTCCAAATCAATCTGAATGGTGTCATTCACCTTGATGAGAGGGGATCAGGGTAGTGGATGGTGCGAGCATCATGAGTCACCAGATGAGGATTTCCTTTTGTGCCCACAAAGATCTTTCTCACTTTGCAAAACTTGTGCTTAGCCTCCTTAGGTATGATACAATGAACAGAAAACTGATACTTGGTGTCATAGATCAGGTGGAAGTTCTCACCAGTCTTGTCCTTGTCAATGCTGATGACATCCATAAACCCAGCAGGGTAGCTTATATCAGTCCAGACTTTGTCATCGATCTTAATGAACCGCTGCATGCAGATCTTTTTTACTTCATCTCTAGTCAGAGCATACTTAAGTCTGTTTCTTTTTCTTTCTTTATTTTTTTTTTTAGTTGGAGTCTCACTCTGTCGCCCAGACTGGAGTGCAGTGGCCGCTCCCGGCCACCGCAGCCTCAACCTGCTGGGCTCCGGCGATCCTTCCGCCTCAGCCTTCCAAGTAGCCAGAACTACAGGCATGCGCTACCATGCCCGGCTGATTTTTTTATTTATTGTAGAGATGAGGTCTCGCTGCCCAGGCGAGTCTCGAACCCGCGGGCTCAGGCAATTCACTCACCTCAGCCTCCCAAAGGCACGGGATTACAGGCTGAGCCACTGAACCTGGCTAGTCTGTTTCTTAGGAAAATGATGAGAGGGAGACACTCTCTCAGCTTGTGGGGACCAGTGGATGGACGAGGAGCAAACACCGGTCAATTTATCCAGCATCCAGTGCTTTGGAGCTGCTACCCACTTCAGATACTTCATGGGACCACAAGCCATGGCTGTGCTCCTTTTCATTTTTTGTAAGAACACTTTAGGTATAGTGTTTTAGCAAACCTTTTAAGCATACAAGATGTTATTGTTAACTATAGTTACTATGTTACACATTAGATCCTTAAAATTCTCTTATCCTATAGCTGAAATTTTGTACCTTTTGAACAACATAGCCCTTCCTTCTTTGGCAACCACCGTTTTACTCTCTGCTTCAGTGGGTTTAACCTTTTTTGAATTCAGACATGAATGAGATCATGCAGTATTTGTCTTTGTGTGCCTAGCTTATTTCACTTAGCAGAATATTTTGCAGTTTCATTCATGGTGTTGAAATGGCAGAATTCTGTAATTTTGTGTGTGTGTGTGTGTGTGTGGCTGAATAATAAGTTATTGCATGTATATATGTTATATTTTCTTAATCCATTCAGCATTCACAAATATTTAGATTGTTTTCATGGCTTGGAAATTGTGAAAAATGCTGCAGTGAACATAGGGGTATATATTTGAGCTACTGATTTTATCTTTTTGGTTATGTACACAGAAAGGGAATTGTTGGGTTGTACGGTAGTTTATGTTTTACTTTTTCAAGAATGTTCATAATGGTATTCTTTGCTAGTTAAGTAATGGCCCATAATAGTATTCTTAATGACTATATCAATTTAAAACTCACCAGCAGTATACAGGTCTTCTTTTTTTTCCACATCCTTCTGAACACTTACTTCTCATGTTGATATTAGCCATCCTAACAGGTGTGAGACAATGCATCATCATTGTGTTGATTTGTGGCTGACTGGTGATTTTGAGCACTATTTCATATACCTGCTGGCAATTTCAGTGTCTTAACTGGAAAAATAACTCTTCATCCTTGACCTGTTTTTCAGTCAAGTGTTTATTATTTTATTGTTTTTGACTTCAAATTGTATAAGATCCCTGTATCATTTGAATATTAACCTCTTACCAGATGTATGGCTTACAAATATTTTATCTTTATTTTTACTTTATTTCAGTATAAAGATATGGGGTACAAGTCGGGATTATGTACATAAGTAATGTATGTGCAGGTAAAGTTTGAAACTCCAACACAAAGACACTTCTCCTGGTTTAGAATCAGATATGCTATGTGTTGTTACATATGTGTTCCCCGCCACCCTTCCTCCTACCCTGGCAGTGTCTTGTGACAGCCAATCCCTCTCTTTTGCTATTACGATTAATGTTTAGGTTCCACTTATGAGTGAGAACATGTGGTATTCCGTTCTTTGTTTCTGTGATTGATCACTAAGAATGTCACCAATTTCATCTGATTTGCTGAGAAGTTCATAATTTTGTCCTTTATGCTGCATAATATTCCATCATGTATACTTACCACATTTACTTTGTCAAGTCTACTTTTGATGGGTAATAGAGTTGGGTCCATGTTTTTGCTATTATGAATAGTGCAGCCTTAAACATGTATGTATAGGTATCTTTTTCGCAGAATGATTTGTGTTCCTCTGGGTATATACCCAGAAGGGAGATTGCTGGACCATATGACTAGAAGGTCAGCATCTAGTTCCTTTAGATATTACCACACTATTTTCTATAGAGATTGGAATAGTTTGCACTCTTACAGTGTAGAAGCGTTCCTTTTTCTCAACACCTGCACCAGCACCAGCATCTATTGTTTTCTGATTTATTGACGCTGGCCATCCTTACTGGGATAAGGTGATATCTCAGTGTGATTTTGATTTGCATTTCTCTTTTGATTAGTGAGGCTGAGCATTGTTTCATATATGTAGTGGCTACTCATACATCTTCTTTTAAGAAATGTCTATTCAAACATCCTGGGCAACTTGAAAAGACCTCATCTTTCCAGTAAATTAAAAAAAAATTAACCAGACATA